TATAATTTCGGTAATTTCGATAATTTCGATAATTTCGATAATTTCGATTATATTCTTTTTAAACAATGTCCGAGTGCAATACCTCCAGGTGCCAATTCTAGTGGATCTCAAAAATACGATTTTCGAATTTTAAAAATTAACTTTCTTAAAGATGTGATCCAACTTCCTAATCGTAAATCTTCTGCTGATGTCAATGCGAACATTAATTCTTCTACTACAAATTCTTCCAACAACAACAATACACAACAAACAAATGGTCAAACTAGTAATAATAGTAGTAATAATAGTAGTAGTAGTACGAGTACGAGTACAACCAATAATGTTTTTTCTACTATCGTTCCTTCGGTGGGTTATGTACAAATGGATAGACTTCAGGCCAAGGAATTACAATCGGTTAAGGATACACAAGTTGCGTTGGCAAAAATTGGTGTGGGTGTGACACAAGAGGCTCAGGATATTTTTGATGCAATGAGCAAGACGTAAGTATTATATTATCTTATTAAGTATCATATTATATTAAGTATTATGTTATGTATATGTGTATATATATTTATATGTATATATATATATATATATTTGTATATATGTGTATATATATATAGATTTATATGTATATTTATATAAATATAAATATATATATATTTGTATATATATATATATATTTGTATATATATAAATATATATATATATATATGTAAATATATCTATTTACATATATAAATCTCAAAACATTATTTGATAACATTATTTGATAACATTATTCGGTAACATTATTTATAACATTATTTATAACATTTTATTTTCTATTCAAAGATTACCATGTAGGTGGCATAAAGAATCAATTATAGTTCTAGATGAGGTGATTATCAATCCACCATATGATATAGAGAATTGTAAAGCAAATATAGGTTCGGCAGAATTATTGGCAAGGGTTCGAAAAGTGGTATGAATAATTGACTCTTTTTTGATTTATCATTTTTATTTGGTTATTGTATTTATCAATTTATTTTTTATTTTATTGATTTTAGCTAGAGGGTGAGAAAAGAAGATTGGCAAGCGGGCGTAGAGATGCAAACGGTTGGCTTGGTTCAACTAACGGCTTATTGTAGCCAATTTAAATCGTTTTCATTGGCTCTATCACTATAAGATAGATCTGTGCCATTTATGAGCCGAGAAATTCCAAGCTGAGCCGATCCGCTGCCCTAATTTAAAAAAAAAAAACAAAAAAAAACAAAAAAAAAAAAACATTATCGTTATACTGAATTAGAATGAATTATAATGAAATTGTAAATTGATTAAAATGCAAATTTTCGGAATGCTATA